AACCTGAGTTTTTAAAGGGGACAGGTAAACAGGCGATGATGGAAGTGAGACAAAATGTTCTCCTTAAATCACTCAGCAGAGTAAATGGTGAAGTTGGGAAGAGTCCCCAGGTTTGACTGGCTATGAAAAAACCATGAATGTCTTCTCTGTGGTTTTTAGATGTGTATCCTCCTGATACTGGAACCTCTGCAGGAGCCCAACCCACCTCCAAAAGTGGGAGTTCCTGGAAAGGAGTGCAGAGATTTTACCCTTCTGCTGAGCCTCTGAGCTCCCTGTACAGCCCATCTTTCATGGGGCCAATCCCCCTGCAAGCCAGTGATCCACACACAGCCCAGGTGAGCCCAGAGTTCTGTGCTGGACTCACTTCAGCAAAAACAACCACACACCTGAGCCAGAGCTTGGGCAGCCTGGCTCTGCCACAGCCCCGAAGTGCTGAGAAAGAATGAGGCTATATTTGGAGTACAGGCTTAGGATTTAGCAAAATCAGCTCCTGACTTGCCTCGTTTGAGCTTCTGCAAGCCAGGAATGCCTGAGGAGAAACTACAGCCATGCAGCACTCAGCTTTGGAAGCTGGAGAGCACGTGGAACGGGAGAGGTGGGTTCAGTGAAGCAGCACAGCTCCTGTGCACACAGGGGACCCGGCCAAGGGCTGTAACAGATGTGTTTTAACCCATGCCACGGAGCTATTTGGGATCTGTCTCCGATTGCTCCAGCGCTCCTCCACGTGTCTTCCTGACGAAAGACCAACAACAACAATTAGCATCATATAAGGAGCAGGGGACTGCTGCCAGCATTAACACACTCTGGAGCAGCAAGGGTTTTCCGTTCCACTTTTTAGCCCAGCTAGCACACGGCAGAGGTCACCCTGCATTAATCAGCCTTGCTCCGGGCCAGCTCCTTCAGCACGTTCAGCCCGTGGGATTGCAGCCACTGCCTCTCCGTGCTCTCATGGGCTCTCTCTGCTCCACACCTCTGCCTTTTTCCTTAAGCTCACCAAAAAAGGGATGTTCCATGTTATCCCAAGCTGAGCCTGGCCACGCTGTCAATGGCCTACAGACCCTACAGAGGGTGACACTGCCTGGGCAGGACTTGGTGGGTCCTGGCTGCAGATGGGAGCCTCGTGTTGTCATTCTCAGCTCTGACTGAATCCCCTTCCCTCCAACAGCAGTCCTGAATCTTCAACCCCTAGGAAGAGGTTTCCACCTTTCCAACACCCCTGAAACGTGCTCTCCCAGAGCCTTTGGGCTGGTTCATGATCACCCTGGGGAAACCCCATCTGAGCCAGCAAAGGGAATGTAAAGTCAAGGCTTCTTCACAGCATATGAGCGCACTCCAAGGAAAGGCTCTGGAAGGAATCCTGATGACTTCCATATTATTTCCAGTAAATTTTGTGCTGATTCTTGGCACCAACACTGGAAATGAATAGGCTAGGTCAGGAATGTAAATAAAGTGAAACATTGGGACTTAATCTAATCTATAATTATAGTATCTGTGGCGCAGGAAGAGCTTGGTGTGTTTGCACTGCAGCTCCATTGAGGAGCTGGAGGGAGTTTTCATTTCCCTTTCCAGAATTTCCATTTTTGGCTGAGGGATACTTGGTGTCTCCCCAAGTATTTGAAGCAAATGTGCTGGGTTGGCAAAGCTGCCTTCTGGTAGCCAAGCAGGTACAGCTCAGCCATGAGGCATCCCCAGGCATTCCCTGAGCAATGGGGTGAAAGCTGAGATGGATGAGCTGGGCTGAAGGCTCAGGGAGGCTGTGGGGTGCCCAGGGGCAGCTCCTGCCTCCTCAGTGAAGAGATTGGATGGGTTTATGGGGTGCTCAGTCCTCTAAGCTGAGTTTGATCTCTAAGATAAGCCAGAGCCCTTTCTCCTCACTGTTGTTTTGTTTTTGGTTCATCACAAGCTGCCTGTCAAAGTCTGGTGCTCCCAAGGCTCCCAAACCATCCATCTGAGTGGCACTGGCTGCTGTCCAGGCTGGCTGGTCCATGCAAGGTGAGCACTTCACAGACATCTCTCCCTCTGCCCTTCTCACCTCATCCTCTTCCAGATCCACCTGGGGGGAAGCTTGACAGACATCTCTGGTCCAGCTGACCTCAGGGGAGAGCAATCCCTCCTCCATTTCACAAGAATATAAGATTTCTGCTTTTTAAGAACTGTGACAAAACTCAAGAGTCTTCAAGAACCATCCTCAGTATCCATGCATAGGTCTATGGGAGTGCATCCCCATGAATGCAGCATGGATCTCCATGGATGGGTGCCCGTGTGTGGCACACTGGCAGGAGTGTGCACACGTGTACATGAGCCTTTGGAGCGTGGGTCTTTGTTGACATGATCTACTTGCCCTGCAGAACCCCCTATGCAGGGACTGCCATCTTAACCCCAGTGTGTTAAAGGCAAGGGGAAGAAAAGGGCTGACAGGCAACATATTTTCCTCAAAGTGAAACTGCAAAGGACAAAGAAATTAGTTCTCCTTTTGTTAATTTATGTTTTGGAATTACAGAAGTCTTAAAAGCAAAGGAATCAGTCAGACTTTGTTTATTTGTTTGCTTGTAGAACATTTTTTGGGTTTGTTTTCATACTCCAGCCCAGCTTTGATCTCAGGCTGGTAGTACTCCAAATGAATGGTCCACAGCAGAGTGTAATTGCTGTAGGTACTACAGAAGAAAAGGAACAGGATGTTCAACACATTTACAGGGCAGAAGAGATTTCCATGACCTCCCAGTCCCCTTGCTAAGGTTATGTGATACCCTCAGACTACTGCAGGAGCAAACAATTTGTTTTTGAGGAGCTCTGATGCTGCAGACTGTGTGCTTACCTCCCAGCTCAGAGAACAGCACAGAGCCCTGCAAGTGGCTACAATCAGGATTATACCCAGCCCAGAGCTATTATAGATAGCTATTTTTCCACAGAAATGAATGAATCAAGCAGAAGAAATTCAATTTAAGAAATGACCCCGTGCCCGTGTTTGTGTTGTTGTTCTGTCTGTGCGGGCACAGAGCAGCATTAGCCTCACATTTCACTGCTCTGGCTTTCTTCACGCTGTGTTGCAACCCTGTGGACATCTGAGCAGAGGAATATTTAATGGGGGTGCCTGTGTATCTGAGAACGCTCAGGGCCCAGGTTGGAGCAAGCGGGTGTGTGTTGGGCGGGCAGGAGCAGGGGGTATCAGCCCATGCCATGTGCTGGGGCAGGCAGCAGCAGCAGCCAGCGAGGATGAGGTGCTGTGGTGTGCCCACATGCAATTTTTTGGATGCTCAGAGGTGCCCCAGAGGTGCCCGCAGGAACGTGAGCCCATCCATGTGCGCTGTGTGCACCGCCCTGGGAGTGGAGAGCCAAGCCCTGCTGAGCATAGCGTGGGACAGAGCCAGGGCTGTGCGTCACCCTGGGGCCTGTCCCCACGCAGGACAAGCTCCAGAGCTCCCTGGTGCCAGGGCACTGCTGCCTGCTGGCTGCCTGCAGCCGTGGCTCCCCACAAAAGCTGCTGTGCCTTGCCCAGGCGCACCCACAGAGTGCAGCCATGCCCAGGGCACAGGGCACTGCCAGCTCTGCTGACCACCTCCATGGCAATGTGCCTGGGGGCTGGGAAGCAGAAGACTGGCTTTGACCACAGGGATGACAAAACCCTGGACAAAGCCCTCTGCCTTCCACCCAAGGCTCTCCCAGCCCTTTGCAGACACCAGGAATTAGATCACAGAGCCCCTAAAGTGATGGGTGAGTGCAATTACCCCTGCCTGGCAGATGGGGAAGATGCCTTGGCAGCCCAGCTGCCCAAGAGCCAGACCTGCTGGCTCCCAGCTTTGTGTGCTCACCACGGCAGCAGTCTCCATCAAAACCAGTGGCTCTTCCCTCTCCCAGTGCCCCTGGCAGCAGCTGGGAGCTGGGAGCTCACAACGGGCCAGTTTTATGGGCGTTGGGTTATTAGTGAGCTCTGCAGTCGCTCCAGCTTCTCCCTGGCAGCTTTTCAGAGCAGCCCAGTTCCCAGAGATATAAATAATTATATTTATGCATTATAGATATTCAACAAGAAAATGTCTGATATTATTAAATGGCAAGAGGTATCACTTGGAGCCCACTCCTGGAGACAGCCCTGCTCCAGGGATGTGCTATAAAGGCTTTGGAGGCTGTCAACATACTTAACCGGGGGGCGGTGGAGGGAAAGTATTAATCAAGGTCTTAAAAAGTTCTCGCTGACAGACTATTTGCCAGCTCTCACTTTAAATGCTTTTGTGGTCCCATAAAAAGTTTCATTACTCACTACAAAATGTGTTTTAATTATTGCAGTCACTCTGACATTAAGCCCTGGGTGTTTCTCTCTTGCTTACTCTGTCTCTCCTCTGTCTCCTTGCCTCTTTGCTCTATTTTTCCTCTCTTACTGATCTGACTCCTGATATTCCTCTCAAGACAGAGGATGCCCTGGTTAATGAGCCAGATTGGAAAGCCCAGACCCTGTCCAAATGACACTAAAGGAGAAGTTAAAATTCAGTTCTTGATGTTATCCCTTTGCTCTGGAAACTAATTAATCCACAAGACTCAAACAGAAAATTCCACCCCCAAAAAGTATCTCAGAAGAGTGAAGTGTCCACAATATGTGGGCAGTGGGCAGGATTTGGCATCTCTCTGATCTCAAATATGTCCTACTAAGAGAAATAGCAACTTATAAACACCTGTCACACTTTTGACATCTATTTCATCCCACCAGGCACTTGGCAACTTGCTCCAATCTGACCACATCAGCTTAGTTCTTCCACGAGAGACAACCCTGGAAAGCCAGAATACTAAAAGTAGGTGCTAGCCAGGAGTGTCCCAGGGACTCCCAGTGCCTCCAGCACTGGTTTTCCATTTCACCAGCTGCATGTAACACCCAAAGCAACAGGAAGGGTCTGACCATTTGTCCTGTGTCAGGTATAACACAGTGCTGACCAAAAAGGTCAACAGCAATTCAACAACAGCATTGGAGATCTCTCCTTGCCCCCAGCAGCTCCCCACGTGTCTCTCCTTACTTGTACAGCCCATCTGGTTCCAGGCACTTGAAAATGACTGAATAGAGGCTGGTTTCAGGGACATCCCCGTGGCTCCGACCCGCTGCCACACAGGAGGTTGCCAGGCCAGAGAGCAAATCTTCTGCAAAGCTCAAGGATTCTCCTGCAGAGCAAAGAGAGGAGCGAGACCAGAACATCAATACAGGTGTAGAATTACTGCTGACCACTTTAAAAATCACTGTAGGAACATGTCTACGCTGGGACACGCAATCAACACACTCCAGCTGGCTGTGGAATGTCCCAAGTCTGGGTGAAGAATGTCACCTATGGACAAAGCAAGGAGGAAACACACCTGGGCCAGGAATGGGGGCCAGGGCTATGTCACTGCATGGCCAGCTGCAATCACAGCACAGAGGGGACGTGTGGCCTCACTGCAGGCACTGCAGGCAGAACCACAGAAAATCTGGAAGCCTGATTAAACAGGGATCTCTTGCCCTTGCTGCATGTCCAGCTCTTAAACAAGGCATGGCCTTTTCCAAACATTACCTGCCACAGCAAAAGGTGTTTCTACTATGTTGGACTTACAGTAAAAAATGAATTTTTAGTGCTTTTTTTTTAGTGCTTTTAGGGTGGAATTGCTCTCAATGTGATGGTTTTATTTTATTTATTTTTTTTTAATTTAATGACAGACAGTAGCTTTGCATTCCCTTTCATCAGCTCCTGGAGCTCTGACTGGATCTCCTTCAGTCATGTGGAAGAACACTTGTTTTTTATAAGCATTCAAAGGAAAAAAAACCCTAATTAAAAATACTGAAAAATCTTTTTTTTTAGTCTTCTGGTTTATAAAGCCTATTAAACACTTAGATCATTACCCAGCTGAAACAGAAAATGCTCCATTTATTAAGGTTTTTGGGCATGACTGTCCACTGCTGTGCAACCTGTCTCCTCGCAGTGGGCAGCCTGGCTATTGGTTAGAGCTCATTGCATTTAATTCCTGCTTCACACTGGTGTAGCTGAAAGCCTGAGGTACCACGAAGGAAAACGAGACAGAGCATCTGCCCAGGCTGTGCCCTATTCCCAGTGATGGGAATCAGAGCAAGGGCTGCTGTAGGTGGTAGTTGTGCTGGTGTAAGCCAAGCCGGGCCCAGATTGCTGTGTTGGGTACCTTGTGCATGTGGAAATGTCAAGACATCGCAGCAGAGGGAGGAGGAGAATTCCCTTCTCAGCACTTTTGTTTTTCTAAAGGCAAAAGTGACTGAGGAGTACTGAAACAAAGCACCAGTTCTTGGTACAGACCCTAAGGAACGAGCCAGTGGTACAACCAGCCCAGAACATCCCACTGTGAAGCTGAAGTATCCAGGTAGAATAAAAAAATCCCCTCATCCCCAGCCCCCTAAACCGCATTTGCGTCTTGTCTCCAAACACACAACTCAGTAACAAATATCCCCCTTGGCTAGAGAAAAGAGCAGCAATAAATTCTTTTCCTCCCTGAAGGAATACAAGCCTTAATTATTCATTTTAATACTCCCAGCACGACTTGTTCTTTCCAAGCTTTTTCAGGCAGCTCTGTCACCAGTCTCTGTAGCTCAACCCAGCTCCTGGACGCAGGTCTGTCCCAAATCCCAAGACAACTCAACAGGCAGGTTGGGTTGGCAGCAGGAAAATCCCTGCCTGGAAGTCACAAGCACTGCCCAGCCATCAACAAGTCCCTCAGCTCTGGGTTTATGGTTTAAGCAAACAAACAAACCCCTATTACTCATTTCCAATCTTCATTTCCATCTCTTTTCCTACAACATTGGGCTGGATTGGGGAACTCCCTGTCACCAGGAGTCGTTGAGAACAGACTCTGCCATGACTTAAAGACCTGATGAATCACCAACAAAAGAAGCAGGACCAGAATGTGTTGTTGAAGTAGAGCAAAGGACTTTAAGGCTCTCCCAGCCTCAAGCAACTTCCCTTCTGACCAGGAAGAAGCTTCATGGGGATGGATCCTCCCATGGATGGATGCTGTGGGATCTTCCTCCACCTCCTCTAAGCAGCTGATGAGGGTTAGGGAAGGAAATAGCTGGGCAGAGACTGCAGTGAGAGCTGGGCGAGGCCAAGGGGACTTGGAGTCCAAGATTTGGACTGGGCAGCCCCCAGGTAGGAGGATGAGCCAGGATATCTGTGCCAGGGAGCACAAGAGATGGGATGGGCTGAGACAGGGAGAGGGTGGAACCAGACTTGCAGGAGACTGGAAATGAGATGGAAAATGTCATGTGCAATCACTGAATCAAAAGATGTATTAAGGCCAGGTTGGACAGGGCTTGGAGCAACCTGGTCTAGTGGAAGGGCAGGACAGGCCCAAGGCAGGGCGGTTGGAATGAGATGATCTTTCAGGTCCTTTCTGACACAGACCATTCTACAATGAAAATTGCCCTGCTAACTTTCTCTAAGACGTGCACTAACATCTGAAAGCTCATCTTCCATGGTCTTTGTGGGTATTTTTGAGGGAACAGGCTGGCAGGGAGCACTGTCCTGACACACAGCAGCAGCTGTTTCCCACAGTGGTCTTGTTTGCCATGGATTAGACCTGCTCAGGGAGTGGAGTGCATTTCTGTCCCCCTGCACAGGAGGAAATGAAGGTTGCAGGGTCTGCCAACAGTGTCTCCACTTAGACTGAGCCAAAACACTTGCAATAAAATCCACAAAGCAAGAGGGTGTTTTTTGCTCAATTCTGAACCTCTGGGGAACTCTCTGCAAAGCAAGGAGGTTGTTATAAAAACAGCAAAATAGATGCTAACAAAGATGCTGGAACCTCAGCCCCAAGGCTGGGAGTTTTCTGTACCTGTACAAGCAGCAGTGAGATCACTGGTGGTGCCAGTCTGCACAGCCCATGGAGCAAAGACAGGGAAGGGACACCCTGGGGACAAGCCAGATCCCCAGAGCTGTCAGTCTGCAGCCAGTGCAGGGAGCTGCTATTCCCTGCTCTCCCCTGGGCAATGCAGAGCACACAGAGACTGTATTTGTTCATCTCACCAAAGAGAAGGCAGAGAACCTTCAGTCCTCAGTGCTCTGAGAGCAGCTGCAATGAAATTTCCTAAGCCTTCCTTAGGAGCAGAAAGCAAGTTATTTCCTAGATTTAGAGTGGGACCTTGTCAGTAGAACAGAGCTAAAGCAATAGTTGTTTCTGGTGTAATGGTGAGAGAATTATCATAAATCACAGAATGGTTTGGATTGGAAGGGACAAGAAAGGTCATCCTATTTCACCTCACCCCCAACCACAGGCTTCTCCAAGCCTGAACAGGTTTCTCCAAGCCCTCTCCAACCTGGCTTTGGACACTTGGGCCACTTGATTGACCAGTAATGTTGCCCCACCAAGAAAATGTGATCCTGGGATCATGTAGCAGCAGGAGAACACAGACCCAGCTGCACGAGGCCACATGAGGACTAAGTGCATAGCATTCCTCAACTGTGCTCAAGACCGAGGCACAGGAAAAATAGGAAAACAAGGAGAGAAGATTTCACAGGGAAAGAACAAAAAGCCCAGGTTTTCCAATAAAAACAGGAAAAAAAGGCCAAATAGAGACACATGACTGTGAACACATCAACAGGGCAGGCACTCAGATGGAAAAGCAATATTTAGGTTAATGGGCAGTAATGGCAAGAGGATGTAAACTGGACATGGATAAATGGTTGGTCTACTCCTGCAAAGGGCAAATAACCCAACCATCTTTTAAGAAGGAGTTTGATCACTTTATAAAAGGGATTACATGGATAAGTAGCTCATGATGGAAAGCAAAGGGGCTTCTTTTTCCCATCTGGACTTGTGTTCTCACACATCCCGCCAGCAAATATAAAGAAGGATTTCAGCCTCCCAAAGCAGCCCTGAAGCACAAACCTTCAAGACTGCCTGAGTATCTTTGCTTGTGTTATTAAATTTCAGAAAGAATCCAAAGGTTCTCTGCAGAGTAAATGATAGCTAAGTAGATCATCTCTGTGGAGTAGGAGATATTTTATTGACCAGACAGACATCTGTGTCCTTCATTAATAGTAATAAATAATTGATGTCACACTAAATAAAGCAATAAGATGTTACAGATATCAAGGACAAATAACTGGCTCCTATGAGGATGCCTCACCTGTGTTCACTTCTCAGTAGTAAAAAACCCAGAGCAGAGCTCAATATCACTATGGAAAATGCTGTTCACAGAGCAAAAAATGTCACTTGCTGCTCGCTGATTACAAATTATGGGGCAGCTGTGCTCAGCAATGGGATGCTGACACTCCTAAGTGCAAGGAGTTAATATCCTTGCAAGAATTTTTTCTCCCTCATTTCCATGACATCCCAGGGCTGATCTACCCCAAACCATCCACTTCCCCAGGCAGCTTTTGAATCCATCTCTGCTCTACTAATAACTGTCAGGAAGATTCAGGTGGCATTTCCCTTCTCTCCCCAGTGCAACCCCTTGCTACTGCCTCGTCCTCATCCACAGGCATGGCTCTGGAGTTTGGCACATCTCCTCTTTTTGGTTTTCCAAGCATCTTTTACACTGACTCTGGTGGTGTGGCTCTCCTTAAAACAGAGCAAACTTGGAGCTTGCAGAGGGGTTCCCATTCTGGGAAGCTTTGCAGACTTCTCCTGGCCACAGCAGGCATAGCCAGGGGTCATCCCACTGGTGGCCAGTGGGATAACCAGCCAGGAACTCAACTCCATCTCCAGAGGAGGAGGAGGAGGAGGAGGAGGTGGAGAAGGAGGAGGAGGAGGAGGAGATCCCCAGCTCAGCTGCCTGTCTGCAAGGGTGAGCTGGCAGTGTGCTCTTCAGAGAGCACATTTCTCATGGCAGGAGGCTCAGAGGGGCAGGAACGGGGGCTGAGGAATGAAAATGGCTGGGAGCAGGCTCAGACCGCTCGCACACAGCATCCAACAGCCTCAGTCTGCCTCAGTCCTTCCGCTGCGGCCGTGCCAGCGCCCTGCAGTTGCGGACAGCAGGATGGATGAATCACCTATCAACCATCCCAGCGAGGACAAGGCGAGCTACGGCGCTGAGTTCAACCAGACTAAACAAGAGAGCGAGGCCAGCAGCCTCCAGGAGGCTCGAGGAGCAAAAGGAAGCTCTGGGACCCTCACAGGCGTTCCCACACCTTCAGCCCATGTGCCTGTGCCAAGAGCAGCACGGAGAA